TCTTCTTCTTCTTAGTTATATATATATTAAAAATTCCACGGCGTCTAAGTCTAAAATTTGACCTGCTAGTCCTCAAGATAGAATTGGAAAAGTTTGGATCTGCTCTTATTCTTTAGAATATTTCTCTACAGAATCTCACTCATTGGGGGGTAGTGTGCGACAGTATTTGTACACTCTGGATTCAATAGTTGGGTATTGCTCAAGTTGGGACATTCTATATTAAAATTATCACAATGCTGAAATTTGAACTGAATTGATGACATGAAAAATTCAGTAGCTACTAGCAATTTCAATACTGATATTTAGTTAAGTTAATTTCTGAAGCGATTATTATGCGCAGTTAGGTGATAGTTGAATAACGTGATTAGAATCGTACTTTTTGGACATTTCACAGAATTCGAAATGGCTGAGACGATACCTCTTAGACGTCGGTGAGATACAAAAATATTTTGTGTGAATGAGATAATCGAGAGCGATGTGAATATTTTACATTACAGTAGTAGGTTAGGTTAGGCCCAAAGTGAGTAGGTCTATTCGACCCTCCACCGCAATCTGCAAGGGTTTATTGTCCTCACACCTATTCACACTCGATCAAATAAACCCAGCTTCTTAACGAAGCCGATTAGTTTGTATGGTGAGTGGTCTTTCAGGTCAGATGGTAAGAATACGGCTCTGCCGAACTCTAAAAACCTGATTCGGGTCCCAGCGGGCAGGTACAAAGTATGTGCTCTGCTGTTTCATCATTTTCCAAACAGAGGCGACACAGACTGTCTTCCGACGGTCCGAGTCTCTGCATATGTTGATTCAAATGACAGTGACCTGTGAGAAGGCCTGTTAGACATTGTAGTTCATCCCTACTGTAGTCCAACAACTGTTTGGTATCAAGCTTCGAAGTTGAGTGGTGGTACACTAAGTGTAGGTTGCTCTTCAAATCGATTAATCATCTGGTCAAAATTATGAAGTTAAAGGCTTTCCTCTCGGATCTGAACTACAGGGATTTTATTCCTGACATATGCGATATGCGTTATGACGCGAATGAAGGTAGCGGAGTTGATAAACCTTTACTGCTTCCCGCACATTCCCATTATAAAGCCATAAAGGAAATGCATTTTTGCATACTCCTGCGGAGTTCAAGGTTTCTCGACATTTGGAAAAACAACTTTCATCAGATCTCAAATGTGAATTGAATTGATTGTCTGCAATTGTCAACTTTTCATACTTATACCAAGTCGTCACGTCATTATTCTTCATAGCCGATAACAAACAAGTATGAAGCAGTCGCACACTAATTGAAACTTATTTACGAGATATTACCAAAAATTAATGTACTAAACTTAATAACCCGAATTTTTCAACAGAACGTAGTAGTTTTTACCGCATTTGAGTAATGGTAAATATTTTGAGAGAAAAAAACATGAATACAAAATTAAGGTTCAAATTTCAGTTCAAGTTTAAAATTCTTTTTCACCTGCTGAAAATTACAGAGCTCAACAATCCGACTACTAAATTTTAAATGAAAATGTGCCAAAATGCCCTCGACTTTTTACAATAGTTTTTGCTCTTTCCAAAAACACTGATTTATGATTAACAAATATTTCTGTTGGGTGTGTTTTTAAGATTACGTATTCATTTCATCCTATTTATTTATTATTCTATTCTTGAACCATATCTCCCAAAAAAGTAGTTTAATATTTTTTTTCTCTTGTTGATATACATTTGTTTTTATAGGCTGCTCTCATCATGCAAGTGTTGCAGTTATCAGATGAACAGATAGCTATGTTACCTCCAGAACAGAGGAACAGTATTTTGGTCCTGAAGGAACAAATCGCCAAGAGTGCACATCGTTGAGTTTTCAAAATCGCAGTATGTTTAGATTGTATATCTATTCAAATAAAGATAAAGTAATTGATATGTTGTTTTTATTCTTCAATACGTTTTTTTAATCAAAATATTAAATTGGCGACAAAAAATGATGTAAGAGTATTTGTTATAATGCATTTGCAGAACAATTGTAATTCAATAAAAAAGATGGTTGGCAAAGATGAAATTTTAATTATCTAATAAAATTGCTGACACCCTCGTAAGTCACCTGATTCATGTCATTAACTTGAGCTTTAAAAAGCTTAAATTTAACCTGTATAAAAAACCTTTCATAAGTTTTCATAAGTGTCCGAAATTTTACAGGACTATTCGTCAGTTATTTATTAGGTAAAACGTAAAAAAGAAGTGGTGAAAAACAGAAAGTTTCAATTCTCTTTACTTCATTATGATTTCCTATCACGTAGTAACGGCTACATCCATCAATTTATTTTTATTCGTTTTTCGTGAATATATTTTAAAATAATGTCGATATTTTGACAAAAATTTGTATTTGGGGACTTTTTAATTTAATAAATTCAAATTTGGTTTTAGTTTGGCACTTGATTGTACGGGTGCCACCTACAGGTTTTTTGTCTCTTTTGGGAAGTCATAACTTTGTCGTGCATGTTATGTATCACATTTCCTAGAATAAAAATCGATTACTCCATTATTTTTACGTGAACAAGGTATGTCCGTCAAAATTGCTACAAGCAACCATTTTCAAGATACTTATTTTAATTTAAATTAATCGATGCATTTACTCGTCTTCTCATTGATTCACCAACTCTTTGAAAATAAAAGTATCAAATAGGCTAGTAAGTTTATTCCAATGTTTTGTTTTGTGCTGTCATATCAAAAATAATATCTTTACGTATAGTTACATAGTTTTATTTGGTACTAGTTCAGGTTCCAACTTCAAAACTGACCAAATTCAATACAAGAACAGTTTTCTATCAACGCATTGGCAGGAATCGTCGGAGATTATTTTATAGGCTCATTCTTTATTCCGAGAAGATTAAACAAAAAAAGAGATATCGTCATTGGAGAAAATTGTTATGGAGAATGTCGGCATATCGGTGGGCTCATGCCATGCAATTTTTTCGGAAATTTTGGGCATTAAGGGTGGCAGCGAAATTCGTTCCAAAATTGCTGACAGGTTCCGACAGGTGCTAGGGCAGGATTCTTTACTGAAGTTATTCCTGCATATGCTAATTGCGATACAACTGCCGGAATCGATTTTAAATTATTGGAACACACAGACCCGTTTTGGGCTGTTTGGCCACTCGTCAGTGCATGGTATTTTCTATCAACTTGAAGACGATGATTTCCCATAATTGAAAATCGAATTCTTTTCAGAGTATCATTCCTCGAACTAAAAAGAAGCCAACGACAAACATGTTTTTTATCGCCCCAGTTGTTCTTTTATAAATATGATTTGATTCACAACCAGTCTCCACGATGCCCAGTCACTTTATGTGAAGTTTTCTTCCTTATAGGAGGAATTGGACAAAGTCGGATATGCAGTTAGTTACCTCGTTCACGGGCAGATGGGGCGATGATAAACATGTTGTTTGTTGTTCGCTTCTGCCTAGTTCGAGGAATGATATTCTGAAAGGAATTTGATTTTCAATTATGGGAAATTATCGACTTCATGTTGATGAACCACCACCAGTGCAGTGACCACCAAACAGCACTGCTTTGATAGGATATGAATGCTAGTGGTTCCGCGAAAAACCTTCTCGCCGACCGCTGATCAGGTGAAATCCTTTTGGAAGAATATCTATGATCACTCGCAGTCACTCAGACACTTCGACCGTAGTGCAGTTCGAAGCTTTCAGCAGAGAGCTTCAACAGCCTAAGCTCAATGAACTGCGCAACCCTATAATTTGACGTTCGAGGAGCCCATGCTTGGATTCATGTTATTGCACTGACGATTGGGCAAACAGTCCGAAACCGGTCTACAAGTGTGTACAATCAATTGAAAATCGATTCCGGCAGTTGTATCGCTAACAACATATGCAGGAATAACTCCTGTGAAGAATCCCGCACTGACACCTGTCGAATAAAATCCAGCGCCCTTCGTGGTATTAGTGGGATTAATTGTTTTGTGATAGGTTCCAATCCATTAACCTACAGTGTAGGTAATTTGAGACTGGCCGGAACGAATTTTTCTTTTAGATAATTTGACTTCATTAATAACCTGAATGAAAGTTTGTTTTGAATTCACAAACAAATTTAGAACATCAAATTCTCGTAACTCCAGTATGAATAACACAGAACTCAATACCCAACTCACCATAAAGTTCAATAATTGAATAGATTCAGCTTGAAGAGTTGTATTTTACCTTCAGAACCATTGAAGAAAACATTCATCAACTCAATTATGAGTAACAATTTAAAAGTTTGGGGAAGAGCAAATGATAACGTGGTCTCCAAAGTATTAATAATCCAGAAACAGTTTATTCGTCTAACTTTCGATCTTGACTCAATGAATCATGTACAGGGTGAGTCAACAAGATTCCCTCGGTCCATTGCTATCAGGAAAAACGATTTCTCGAATCGTACACTTTTTTTTCGCAGCCATATCAATAAATACTATCTTTCAAAATTATTTTCTGGCATACTGGGTGATTCAGCCATGCGTGGCCAACCAAAGTTTAATATTTTTAAATGAAACATCCAGTATATGAATACGTCATTCGATTTCATATTTTTTTTAAGCTCTTTAAGTAATTTCTGTTTTCGAATTTCCATTGCGGCATTGCCAAGTTATTCAAGAAAAACCAATATTGCAGACAATATTTTTTCAATTCGCCACCTGCATGTCTACAACAATTAAGTGAATTTTTTAGGAATAGTTAGTCAACATCACTATGATAATTTCGGGAATCTGAACTTTCGGAAACAATATACAGGGTGCTCCGTAAAACCGGTCAAGTTTCATTCATTTTCAAATAGACATAAATCAACTTTTTCAAATGGATCACCCTGTATTTTTTCATTTGTATGAAATGTTTTAACATTTCACTACATTTTTTTTTATCAGAGATATACTATACGAAAACATATATTTTACAAATCATACCCAGTTTTAATTATTGTTGTAATAACAAAAAAATCATTTATTTACGTTCACTAACTCAACATTTTTTCAATATGAACAATAACGCCTATATTTGTTATTGAATAGAGGAATCCAAAAGATGTTAAAAATGGTGACCATTTTCTGTAACACATAATTTCAGTCTTTTTTTAAACGAATTCTCCACACGTTCCCTGAAAGCTCTAGTGATTCTTCGTTTCACGTCTTCTAGGAGGAGTTTGGTAGGCAATCCATTTGATATACTCTCATAAAAAAATTCATTTTGGTCAGGTCAGGTGATCTGGGTTGCCACGCCACGGGCCCACCCCTACCTATCCATTTTTGATTGAAATGATCGTTGTGGTATTTCCGTCTTGGTGCACCGTCTTGTAGTCACATTCTAAGTATTGTTCCATATGGAACCCCGTCCAATAAATTTGAAAACTCATGCTGAAAAAATCTTACATATTTTCTTCCAATGAGACGCCCATCCAAAAAATACGGACCGATAAACTCTTTTTCCGAGAATTCCATCCCAAACATTCAGTGACCAACGCTGTTGATGGTTCAGGCAACCAACAAAATGGTGGTTTTTGGGGTTTTCCGTTGTATAACAATGCATGTTATGCCGATTCACAGTTACATTTTTATGAAAATTCGCTTCATCAGAAAATAACACGAAATCGAAAAAATAATTTTCCTGATTGATCTTTTCTAAGCCCCATCGGCAAAATTCAACACGTTTTTCAAACTCTGTTTCTCTTAACTCTTGCATCAATTGCATGTGGTAAAGATAAAATTTGCTTGCTCGTATCATTCGATACACGCTGGTTTGAGAAAATCCTAATTCCCTGTTCAGGTCTCGGGTACTAACATGGGGATTTTCAACAAGGTGAAGAGCAATTTGAAATGTATTCTTTTCATTTGTTACAGGGCAGACACGTTCGAACTTCTCGTGATTGACAATACCAGTTCTTTCAAATCTTATTTTTAGAGCCTGAAATGCCCTTCCATCTGGTTGTCTTCTTTCGGGGAACATCTCTTTGTAAATTCTAGATGCAAGGAGGCAGTTTCCGTCACTATCCTCCAAAGCATAGACTATTTGCATCATATCTTCCAACATATAACTAATAATGAAAATTATTGAATCTGAACTCGAAAAAAACTTCAACACATGGCGTTATTGACAAATTTCGAGATTCATTTTTGGGTGTCAGTCATGGGTAACTGGGTTTAAAAAAAATCAGTAGGTATATTCTTTAGGTTTTCTACGTATTTCTTACTGTTGAAACCGCTGATAACTATCAGTAGTTGGTATGAAAAATGCTAATGTACTAGCGATTAGTTTGAATATCCAAAAAACAAATTTGAGTAAACTTGATATAATTTTTGAACTATATAGTATATCTCTGATAACAAAGGTAGTGAAATATTGAAACATTTCATACAAATGAAAAATTACATTGTGTTCCATTTGTAAAAGTTGAATTATGTCTGTTTGAAAATTAATGAAACTTGACCAGTTTTACCGAGCACCCTATATATTGTTTCCGAAAGTTGAGATTTCAGAAATTACCATAGTGATGTTTACTAACTATTCCTAAAAAAAATCCACCCAATTGCTGTAGACATGCGGGTGGTGAATTAAAAAAGTATTGTCTGCCGAATAGGTTTTTTTCTGAAATTACTTGGCAATGCCGCAATGGAAATTCGAAAACAAAAATTAGTTGGAGAGCTAAACAAATATGAAATCGAATGACGTTATTCATATACTGGGTGTTCTATTTAAAAAGATATATCTTTGGTTGGCCACGCTCCGCTGAATTACCCAGTATGCGACAAAATAATTTTCAAAGATAGTATTTATCGATATGACTGCAAAAAAATTTAGCAGTTCGAAAAATTACTTCTTCTGATAGCTATGGACCTAGGGAGTCTTGTTGACTCACCCTGTATATACAGTGTGT